ATATTTTCAAAGCTTTTAGGTTTAAAAAGTACTTACATATTTTTAGAATTTCTAGATTTATATTATATTGAAAGGACTTTCAAGTTTATCACTCATTTCTGTAGAAACAAGTGTTTTCTCGCCAAGTTAAACCAGATGTCATTTAAGGTTTATGTATTTAGAGTTAAATACCTGGCCTGGCTATCTCCCAGACAATACAAATATGTCCATTGGACTCCATTTGATATACCATTTTGGATATCTAGACGTCCAAAAATGAGTTTTCTGGACTTCCGACATCCAATGAACATCCAGTGAAGTATACAAATGGCACAATTTTGACCATTCAGAGGACGTCCAATTCTGGAATATATTTGGACGTCGAATACTGGACATTCAAAAAACGTCCGGGATTATATTTCCATTGAGACCACATCCCCACTTTTTTACAGAACCGCAACTCACCACACACTATTTTATATTATTAAGAATTTGTTTATTATTTTCGCAAACCGCTATACACCATTTATTTATTTTTTATTAAAAATCGTTTGACCTGAGCAGGAATCGAACTCACGACACATCCATTATCGTTTTACGCTTGCAATCGCTAGACGAGCTCGACCAAGTAACCACTTGAAAACTTTTTACTAGATATAGTTATAATTGAATAAGATTTCAAACTTCCGCTGATAGAATGAAATGCAATAGATTCAATTTGTCAATTTTTAATGACCAGTTATATTAAAAAAAAAGAAGTATATATAAATGGGTATTATCTGGTAGGCTTAATAAATAATGACCTGGACGTCAAAATACTACTAAACTTAAAATTAAGTCCAAAAACAGATGTTCTCTGGGTATCGATATTCAGCTGTCACTTTAATTAGCATAAACGGACGTACACTGGATGCCCGGATATGGACGCCCTGGCCCTCAAATAGATCTAAAGTGGACGTCCATTGGACTGTGTGTGCATAAACGAATTTTTCTAAATAGTAATTATTTAAGTATGCACCAATATTTCCAAAATCAACTCCAGTATGATTCATTCAATAAATGTAAATGTGAATGGGCAAAACATCTTTATATTGACATAATTGTAACTTACAATTTAGCCATATTAAAGGGATTTCGCCCACTTTGACCAATCCTAATTGAAACACGCGAATTTATTATATTTTTTTAAATATAATTTCAAAATAAAATAAACAAAATCTGCAGTTGATTGTTTATTAAATTTATTTAAAAGAAGAAAAACATATATTTCACAAAATACAATACCTACATATGAAAAATAAAATGTCAAAAATGATTAAATCATTATACTTAATATTTATGAATGTGATAAAATTCTTAGTTTCCTAATAACTTTTTGGGCACATTTTATATCTGTATTAGAATACCTAAGTGTGTAAAAATCTTCATCTTATTACTACACAAAACAAACATCAAAAAATATCACTTAACATTGCTCACGTACTAAACACAACTTGGACTGACTTTGACAGATAACATAATTTTGAGTGATACACAACTTATTTTCGCACATGCGCGTTACAAAACGGTACACTGAAAACACCAAGCTGTCGCTTCTCCTTAATCGGTATTCTCGGGCTCTACTGTTATCCTGACGATTTGACCTTTTGACGTTTTTGATCCAGTAGGTCATTCGTGAACTTTGCCTATGCTGTTCTTTGTTGAACTGTCTCAATTCTGGATAATTGTTCCACCATTCCTAAGACTATTTTTGCATCCTTTGTTTGATGGATGCCTTGCAAAGTGCCTTAGCAACTCTACAAAAGGATTCGGGGCCTGTCATTGCCATATCTGATCCTTCTCGAGCTAGTTCATCGCCCTTTTCATTGCCCTGGTATCCTTAATGGCCGAGTACCAAGGCTAAGGCCCTTTGTTTTGACTACTTATCTCTGTCAGGTCTTCTAGGCAATCTTTCATCAGTCGTGATTTATGATAAAATAATTGCCTTTATAGCTGCTTAGTTTTTAGAGTAGATGGCAATGGTTTTGGCTAATACTTGTTGATTTATGTATTTGTAAAATACGATAAGAAATGGGTAACATTTTACAATAAACCAACAGTAGAGTTCAGCAAGAGTTTATTCATCGTCTGGAACACTGTCATGCAGAAGAAGGAATACAGTTCGAACACTAACTGTAATTATGATTTGGCAATTTACTGTTATTGTTATATTACTTTTTCGATTTCAACTTGTAAAGGTCTCCACAAATACCAATTTCAAAATGATTGAATTTTCAAAACTTTCAATTACCGAAAATGAGTATGATATATTTTTGAATCGGCTATGAATGTACAATCCGAAAAAATATATAGAGTTCTCTATTTAAAAAATATGTAGGTGACGTCGTATTTCAACAAGTGAAGTAAATAATTTGGAAAGCAAGGAATTTATTTCATACTTTATATATGTCGTAGCCAAATTGTAGAACCTACCGTTTTATAAAATGTTTAGACATTTTACAAAAGGCGGCCAGATTGTCAAATTCTCGTTTAACATTGATTATTTTTTTATCTGGCTAGTCGAATTGTAAAGTGTTTAGGTGTTTTATAAAACGACGATCAATACGCAGCCAGATTGTCAAATGTTTAAGATTATCTGCTTAACATTCAGTCGGGTGAAATGTTTTAGTCCTTCTGTAAAATACGAATTTAAGTTAAAAGTAAGGACAATCAAATTTTTTTATTATAGATTTAACAGATCATCAGCGACCAAGTTTGACAATTTGGTCGCCAGTTATAAAACGCCTAGGCAATTTATAAAACGACGGATTTTTTAATCAGGCTACGACATATACACAGTTTATATTGAACCCTATATTATATTTTTTTTTAGACAAATCTGGCCGATCATTTTTATATAATGTAAATATGTTTTCTTTATCTAATTTTTATGTTTTCTTATGTAATTTTTCGTTATTCTAGAATTTTGAATCTGATACCAATTATAATTGAATGGACTAAAACAGTAAAAATTTTTATTAGTCTACTTTAAACTTTACCAATTCTTTAGCAAAATTTTGCAGATATCACTGACGACCAAAGAAATAATTGTTAAAGTTGAAAGTATTATGTCCACTATGTCCCGTGACGTATACCAATAAATCAAAAGAATTTATATTTTTTGTAACTTTTTAATATCAACTATCGCCAGCCAACCTGAGGCAAAGAATGTTTGGATTTGATTTTTGAATATTAATCGGAGTTCGATTTTTTATAGTATTCTTTAATTGAATTGTTGATTTTGGTGTATAAATTAGATATACGGTAGTATATAAAGGTAGTGGGTGAAAGTTTTAAGACTAGAATTGTGAAAGGAATAGGAAAAGTGAAAATTAAATGGACATAAGAAAGGAAAAGGTTGGTTTAATGAAGGGGCGTTCTGAAGAAACACGACAATGGGATCTGAATAAAGAAATATTAGGAAACACAGTGATAGAAGAAGACCAAGAAAAATAAAAATTAAAACAATGATATCTTATACATGAAATGAAAGAAATGAAGAAAGATTGAGAACAGGTAATGAACAAAATGGAAGGAAGGGGAAATGAAATGAAGAAAACTACAAAACAAATAATAAACATTAAATTAAGAAATTTATGTGAAAAGACAAAGAAAACTGGAGGAATTAGTAACATAAATAAATAGTCAATAATTAAAGAAAATAAAATAAGAAAGTCAAGAGTTAAATCAAGATGAAGAAGAAATAAATAAAAGAAAGAGAAAAGAATTAAATTGGGAGAAAATTAAGAAAATTGATGTAAAAACGTAAAAAAATAAAATAAAAATGAAGAATAAATAACTAAAAAAGTAAAGATACAAGAAAAATAAAGATAAAATTAGAAATTGAAGAAATAATGAAAAAGGAAAGAAATGAATAAAAAGTAGAAAACAAATTAAAGAGAAAAATAGATGACAAGATAAGAAAATTAAATGAAAAACAAACAGAAAAGGATTCAGAAAGAGAGCAAGAAAGAGAGCAAGAAAGAAAATAGAGGAAAACCGGAAACAAAATACAAAAAGTGAAAAGAAATATAAGAGATTTAAAAATCAAACGGTATAATGGGTACAAGGACATGTTTAAAAAACAATCCCCACTCATTTTTTTATAATATATCAGCCCTGATGTCACACTCTTTAAAGCACCTTAATATTTATGAATTTATAGAGAAGATACAAACCTCTTAGGGTTCCTTTTATAACACTTAGGGCGTTAATTATTATTTGCACACAATATCTGTTATTTTCCACAAAAATTATGAAAATGTATTTTTTACTCAAATGTGTCATAAAACTTCGTTTTTCGGACAGAAAACAATCGAAAAGGAGAACTTTTAAATATACTTCAAACGAACTGCTGAAAAATACTTTTACGACCCAGGCCGCAGAAGTAAAGCGGCTCTGCTATCTAAACTTTCTGTTTAATTTTCAGTTTACCTTTTCATACCGTTGGCGATAATTTTTTGCTATTGTAAAATAGTAGGTATCCTATAATGCACCTGTAGATATATCAAATATCAATTAAAGCAGTTTTAACTAAATAAGAGAAAAACTAAATAAATTATAAATAAATCAATTTAATACGTAAGCACACTGACATGACGAAATTATTGAATTATTATTAAGAATATACCTAGCTATTTTTATCGATCATATCTGAATTATATGTAAAATTGGAAATAATATAATTTCAAATTAATTTTCTATATTTTTGTAAATCTGTAAGCACTACTAATATTCTCACTTTAATACATTTTAGTTTGTTAAATTTCTTTAATAACATCATAAAACACGAACACATTTATGTAAATATTGACAAAAAATATTATAAATAAATAGTAAATATCAATTACGCTTTGCATCTGTGTGTCGTAACATAAGACACTGCATTTTAATCGTCTTAATACACCTTACACTTGAACACAAATTCAACAAACGACACTTAATAAGAAAATATACAAGTTCTATCAAATACGATCCCTTACCTGGGAACCCGGTGTCCCGAAGGCGATATTTATCAAAATAATTATCACAAAAACTGCTATCCTTGAGAAAAACACGAAATTACTACGAACTTCTCTCGTGAAGCACATCTCTAGCACTTGCAGAAATTTCAACAAATACTTTTAACAATCATTTGTTTATACAGTTAAATTACAGTTTTTTTGTGTGTACATATGAATTTACTAATTACACAATCTGGATTGGAAAACGCATTGGCGCAGATAAGAAGGGGATACGGGAATTTATTATTGATTATTTTCTGAAGAGCGCAGAATTTTATTTACGAAAATACGAGGTGTGACAATTAAATAACGGGACTGATCTGAAAAACATGCTTTACTACAAATACAAGTAATTGTTAATCCCTTTCTCTATACATACCTCTGAATACGTTTTTGTGCAATAAGTGGCAGCCATACTTGTGTAAAGATAGCTCCCGACTGGTGTGAACTTAGCAGACCAAACTTGGCAGCCAACATGTCGAAGGAACCCGAATGAACAGTGGCGTCGGTTCCAGGTTAATAAATTTTATTAAATAAATATTGCGGTAATTATTAAATAAACAGTAGAAGTAAGAACATTTTCAAAAAATATAAACCAAAAAATAGATAATAAGACAGATTTAGGAAAATTTGTATTCAAGAGAAATGAAAATATGGTCTTCTTAGGATTTTGATATATCGCGGTCAACAAAGAATCTTAAATAAGTACAAAACAAGACATACTATCAAGTTAATATTTTAACACGATGTAATCTATTCATAAGCCTCACTGAAAAAGTTACTGTTAATGTTTCGCAAGCCGTCAAAAAGTAGGAAAAAATTAAAAGAATATTAGAAAACTGTAAAAATAAAACGTCTGCCAACAAACTATCTACAGTAACTCCATAACTAGACATACTATCAAGTTCATATTTTAAGCAGAATAAGTCTATACATGTCTATATGTAATAGTGGTACTGTCAATTCATCGCAAGCCGTTAAAGAGTAGGAAAAAATTAAAAGAATTTAAAAACACTCTAAAAATAAATAGTCTGCTAACAAATTATCTACAATGCCTCCATAACTAAACATACTATCAAGTTCATACTTTAAAAAGAATAAGTCTTGACATATCTATATAGGATAGTGATACTATCAATTCCTCGCAAGCCGTCAAAGAGTAGGAAAAAATTAAAAGAATATAAAACAACTCTAAAGATAAAAAGTCTGCTAACAAATACCTCCAAAACTAGACATACTATCAAGTTCATATTAAAAAAGAAAATAAATCTACACATATCTTTGTTTAATAGTAGTATAGTACTTTTATTTCATCGCAAGTCGTCAAAGAGTAGGAAAAAATTTAAAAAGTTTAAAAATCTCTGTAAAAATAAAGAGAATGCCAACAAATTATCTAAAATACCTCCATAACTACACATGCTATTAAAATCATATCTTTAAAAACAAATAAGTATTTACATATCCACATTTAAAAGTGGTACTGTCAATTCTTCGCAAGCCGTTAAAGAGTAAGAAAAAATTAAAGAGAGAAAAATAAACTATGAAAATATAACGTCTGTCAACAAACTATGTAGAATAACTCCATAATTACACATACTATCAAGTTCATATTTTAAATGAAACAAGTTTATGCAAAGCCATATTTATTAGTCGTACTGTCAATTCATCGCAAGTCATCAATAGAAAAAAATTAAAAAAATTTAAAAAACTGCAAAAATAAAGTCTGCCAACAAACTATCTACAATAACCCCATAACTAGACATACTATCAAGTTCATATTTTAAAAAGAATAATGTATGAGTGGTACTGTCAACTTATTCTTTTTAAAATATATCACCTTGATAGTATGTCTAGTTATCGAGTTATTGTAGATAGTTTGTTGGCGGACTTTTTTTTATAATATTTTAATTGTGTCCTACTCGTTGGCAGCTTGCTATTAATTGTCAGTACCACTATAACATATAAAAAGGTACATACTTATTCTTTTTAAAATAAGAACTTGATAGTATGTCTAGTTATGGAGTTATTTTAGTTAATTTGATAGCAGATTTTTTATCTTTAGATTTTTTATATCCTTTTAATTTTTTTCCTATTCTTTTACGGCTTGCGATGAATTAACAGTACCAATATTATATATAGATATGTCAAGACTTATTCCTTTTACAATATGAACTTGATAGTGTGTCTAGTTATGGAGGTATTGTAGATAATTTGTTAGCAGACTATTTATTTTTAGAGTTTTTTTGACGGCTTGCGATAAATTGACAGTATCACTATTATATATGATATGTCAAGACTAATTTTTTTAAAATATGATTTTGATAGTATGTCTAGTTATGGAGGTATTGTAGATAATTTATTAGAAGACTTTTTATCTTTAGAAATTTTTTATATTCTTTAATTTTTTCCTAGTCTTTGACGGCTTGCGATGAATTAACAGTACCACTATTACATATAGATAAGTCAAGACTTATTCTATTTAAAATATGAATTTGATAGTAGGTCTAGTTATGGAGGTATTTTAGATAATTTGTTAGCAGACTTTTTATCTTCAGTGTTTTTTTATAATCTTTTAATTTTTTCCTACTCTTTGACGGCTTGCGATAAATTGACAGTACCATTCGTACATATAGATATATCAAGACTTATTTTATTTAAAATATGAATTTGATAGTATGTCTAGTTATAGAGGTATTGTAGATAATTTGTTAGCAGACTTTTTATCTTTAGTGTTTTTTTATATTCTTTTAATTGTTTCCTACTCTTTGACGGCTTGCGATGAATTGACTATTATATAAAATATATGTCAAGAATTATTCTTTTTAAAATAAGAACTTGATAGTATGTCTAGTTATGGAGTTATTGTAGATAATTTATTAGAAGACTTTTTATCTTTAGAAATTTTTTATATTCTTTAATTTTTTCCTAGTCTTTGACGGCTTGCGATGAATTAACAGTACCACTATTACATAGAGATAAGTCAAGACTTATTCTATTTAAAATATGAATTTGATAGTAGGTCTAGTTATGGAGGTATTTTAGATAATTTGTTAGCAGACTTTTTATCTTCAGTGTTTTTTTATAATCTTTTAATTTTTTCCTACTCTTTGACGGCTTGCGATAAATTGACAGTACCATTCGTACATATAGATATATCAAGACTTATTTTATTTAAAATATGAATTTGATAGTATGTCTAGTTATGGAGGTATTGTAGATAATTTGTTAGCAGACTTTTTATCTTTAGTGTTTTTTTATATTCTTTTAATTGTTTCCTACTCTTTGACGGCTTGCGATGAATTGACTATTATATAAAATATATGTCAAGAATTATTCTGTTTAAAATATGAACTTGATAGTATGTCTAGTTATGGAGGTATTTGTTAGCAGACTTTTTATCTTTGGAGTTGTTTTATATTCTTTTAATTTTTTCCCACTCTTTGACGGCTTTAGAATAGATAAATCAAGACTTATTCTATTTAAAATATGAATTTGATAGTATGTCTAGTTATGGAGGTATTTTAGATAATTTGTTAGCAGACTTTTTATCTTTAGTGTTGTTTTTATATTCTTTTAATTGTTTCCTACTATTTGACGGCTTGCGATGAATTGACAGTATCACTATTATATAAAGATATGTCAAGACTTATTCTGTTCAAAATATGAACTTGATAGTAAGTCTAGTTATGGAGGTATTTGTTAGCAGACTTTTTATCTTTGGAGTTGTTTTATATTCTTTTAATTTTTTCCCACTCTTTGACGGCTTTCGACAAATTGGCTGTACCACTATTACATAAAAATATGTCAAGACTTACTCTTTTTAAAATATGAATTTGATAGTATGTCTAGTTATGGAGGTATTGTAGATAATTTGTTAGCAGACTTTTTATCTTTAGTGTTTTTTTATATTCTTTTAATTTTTTCCTACTCTTTGACGGCTTGCGATGTGACAGTACCACTATTATATAAAGATATGTTAAGACTTATTCTGTTTAAAATATGAATTTGATACTATGTCTAGTTATGGAGGTATTTTAGATAATTTGTTAGCAGACTTTTTATCTTTAGTGTTTTTTTATAATCTTTTAATTTTTTCCTACTCTTTGACGGCTTGCGATAAATTGGCAGTCCCATTAGTACATATAGATATGTCAAGACTTATTTTGTTTAAAATATTATTTTGATAGTATGTCTAGTTATGGAGGTATTGTAGATAATTTATTAGCAGACTTTTTATCTTTAGACAATTTTTATATTCTTTAATTTTTTCCTAGTCTTTGACGGCTTGCGATGAATTAACAGTACCACTATTACATATAGATAAGTCAAGACTTATTCTATTTAAAATATGAATTTGATAGTATGTCTAGTTATGGAGGTATTTTAGATAATTTGTTAGCAGACTTTTTATCTTTAGTGTTTTTTTATAATCTTTTAATTTTTTCCCACTCTTTGACGGCTTTCGACAAATTGGCAGTACCACTATTACATAAAGATATGTCAAGACTTACTCTTTTTAAAATATGAATTTGATAGTATGTCTAGTTATGGAGGTATTGTAGATAATTTGTTAGCAGACTTTTTATCTTTAGTGTTTTTTATATTCTTTTAATTTTTTCCTACTCTTTGACGGCTTGCGATGTGACAGTACCACTATTATATAAAGATATGTCAAGACTTATTCTGTTCAAAATATGAACTTGATAGTATGTCTAGTTATGGAGGTATTTGTTAGCAGACTTTTTATCTGTAGTGTTTTTTTATATTCTTTTAATTTTTTCCTACTCTTTAACGCCTTGCGATAAATTGGCAGTACCACTATTACATATAGATATGTTAAGACTTATTCTGTTTAAAATATGAATTTAATACTATGTCTAGTTATGGAGGTATTGTAGATAATTTGTTAGCATACTTTTTATCTATAGTGTTTTTTTAATAATAATAACCATATCAATAATAATAACTAACATTGTATATTAAAAACTGATGTAGAAAAGTCTTAAGTGAAAGTAGGTAGAAAGGATGGTATCTAGGTTTATTTGTTGTTGAATGTCAATTTTGAAAAAGAGGGAGATGTCAAAAAAT